ATTTGATTGCTACCTTGGGTGGTTGGCTATTGTCAGAGCCTCAGTGGACCTTCAGCTGGGGGAGCACTAGGCTGGCTGCCCTCCACCCAGCACCTCCTAATAAGCCTACTGTGTGCAGGAGGTAATGCCTCATGACATTGTTCACAGGCAGGCTCAGAACTAACTCATGGTGAAGAGAGAAACCCAAGAAAAGGGGCACAGGGAATGAGAGTCACTTAGCCTGTTAGGGTGGCTTCCCCCCAACCCTCATGAATTATTAACCACCCTTGAGAGAACCGATATGGTGGTGTAGTTAAATGCAGGTACATGCTGCCTTCCACAACCACATCAAAATTACAACTAAAATACAGAACAACTACCATTCAGAATCACCTGAAATCTGGTTCAGTAGAAGTCTTACAGCTAAAGAAGTAAAGAGGAAAGCACATTGAGACCTATAGAATTTGTGTAATGGGCTGGTCTGACACCCACGTGTGGTGTATTTTTAATTAGGAGGGATATCTCCAAGACCTACCATGAGAAGCAGGTAGTCTAAGACCCCAAACCCAGGGTTCCAGAACTGTCAAGAAAAGTCCTCATAACTTCGGGCTGTAAAAACCATCAGGGATTGTGGCTGAGTGATGTGGAGGCTGCTGGAGACCCAGGTGTTCCTCTTAAAGGGCTCACTTCCCCTGAACTCCAGTGCCTGGTGGCTTTGGGGGAATCCAGGGTTATATGGAGGAACTGGACTGTGTGGTATGTGGCAGGAACTCAGGGGTGGCTTTCTTCCTGACAGGGGTACTTACAGGAGTTATTCTTCCTGTGCTGGGACCTCTAACATCACAGAACTGAATGGCAGCCATATTTGAGTTTCCATCAGTGTGACCCACATTGTTTGTTTCACCATAGTGATTCCCTGAGACCATGCCCCATCCAATTTGCAGCCCCACACAAGCTGTTTGCAATGGCTTTGTCATATGAATGGCTTGTCCTGATTCATGCTTCAGACTTTTCTAAAATCTCTCAAACAAGCAGCAGCTGGTATCAGCATGCCCCAAACCTACCAATAAAAGGCCCATGACCTGGCACTACCACCAGCTTGCCTTTCTGTACAGCTGGGCCTCACCTGGGCACTTCTTAGCCCAATACAATTAGCAGCCATCTTTAGATCTCTCTGTAGCTCCTGCCAGCTAGCCCCAGGCAGTGGCTGACTTTGCACCTCTTGGGAGGCCCCAGAGCCAGTGCACCTGGTGGACAGCTTCAGACCATACCAGATTACAACTCTACATATCCACAAGCGACACACTCAAGGTGCAGACTCAGTGAGGACCAAAGCCCCACTGAAGAAAGTGCTGTTCCATAGGGATGTCCTGTAAAGCTGCTCTTTGATTGTATTTGCAGCTGGTCCTCACAGCCAATTGGCCTGGAGATCAATTCCTCCCAGTGATGCCAATAGCAATCAAGGCTCAACTACAAGACTGTGCACACAGACCACACAGGGGTGCACCTAGAATGCCCAGCTCAGGTTAATGGGGAGACTGAGCCACTAGGCCCTACAGGACACTTACTACAAAAGGCCACTTTACCAATTCCAGGAGACATAACAGCTCTACCTAATACAAAGAAACAAACACAGGGAAGCAGCCAAAATTAGGAGAAAAAAGAAACATGTCACCAACGAAAGAAATGGAAGCAAGTGAACTATTAGCTACAGAGTTCAAAAACATGGTTTTAAGGTTATTCAAGGATCTAACTGAGAGCATTAAGGGACTTAGAGCTTCAAAGGACTCATAAGAGCTTCAAGGGACTTAGTGAGACTTTTAAGTATCATAGTGAGAATATCAAAGATATGAGAAAGGACCATTCAGAAATTAAGCATACACTAACTAAAAAAATAATTTACAGGAATTCAACAGCAGAATAGAGGATTCTGAGAATCAAATCAATAATTTGGAATATGAGAAAGCAAAAAACACCCAATCAGAAAAGCAAAAAGAAATAAGAATTCAAAAATATGAAGATAGTGTAAGAAGCCTCTAGGATAATTTAAGTGCACCAACATTCACATTATGGGGAGTGCCAGAGGAGAAGAGAGTAAGATATTGAAAACTTATTTGAAGAAACAATGACAGAACACTTCCCCTACCTGGTGAAAGAAATGGACTTATAAGTCCAGGAAGCACAGAGTGTCCCAAACAAGAGGAACTCAAGGAGGCCTACACCAAGACATCATAATTAAAATGCCAAGGGCTAAAGGCAAAAAGAATCTTAAAAGCAGCAAGAGAAAAGCAGTTATTGATAGTTACCTACAAGGTATACTGACTGTCAGCTGATTTCTCAATAGAAACAATGCAGGCCAGAAGGAAGTGGCAAGAAATATTCAGTGATGAATAGTAAGGACCTACAATTAAGAATTTAGAATTGTCATTTAGAATTGAGAGTCAGCTTTATAGATAAGAAAAACCTAAAGGAGTAGATCACCACCAAACCAGTATTACATGAAATGTTGAAGGGTATTCTGTAAGAAGAGGAAGTAGAAGGAGAAAAAAGATAAAAAATATGAACAATAAAATGGCAGTAAATACACATCATCAATTGAATCTAAAAATAAATTAATAAGAAATATAATCAACAGGATAAATGCATGAATAAAATAGAATCAGAGGCATACAAACATGACAAAGACAAATGAATTTCAGAGAGAAGGGGTGAGTGGGGTGTTGGAAGTGATTAACCAAAGATCTTACATGCATCTATGCATTACCTATGGAAACAGACAATAGGGTGGTGAAGAACTGGGGCGGAGCAGAAACCGGTGGAGGGGACAATGGGAGAAAGAAGAAGGACATCTGTAATACTTTCAACAATAAAGATTGAGAGAGAGAGAGAGAGAGAGAGAGAGAGAGAGAGAGAGAGAAAGAGAGAAAGAGAGAAAGAGAGAGTACTCATGTCTCTGAATGTGGGCCTTTGTTTTAGACCCTGACCTTGAGCCCCTGATAGAGGAGAAATCAGACTCCTTTCGCCTCGCCTTAGCCCAGCCTGCCCTTCTCCCTCCTTTCTCTCGTCTGCTTCTCCATAATCTCCTGCTCTCTTCCAAAACAGTGTTTCTTTAAGATTTCCTTGGCTGGCAGACAACCTAACAAAGAGCCTCAATAAGGCCACAGGCGGCAGAAGGCTTATCAAGATGAACCTTTTTGCTCTTTATCCTGCTGTCACCTCAGTCTGCTTTGTCATCACAGAAGGCAAAACAAAACAGCTGTGCACACACACTCATGCACCCCCCTCCCCCCCAAATGATCCCTGTCCAGGGCCCGACTCCCAAGGAGTCAGACGCTCAGCTTTTACCCACTCGCTCTCACATCTATTTTGTCCTCCCTTCTTCTCTGCCTAGATTACCAAGCCTACAGACATTGGGGTGAGGAGGAGCACCCTCTCCTGATACAGGCTGGGAAGTCTGCAGCTGCTCTGTGAAATCTTGGGTGATAGAGTGCTATTGCCAGAAGAGAAACCAGACATCTCAGTCACTCTGCTCCCATTCCATAGGCAGGAAACTGAGGCCCAGGGCTGTCAATTAATTAACGGAGTTCAGTGATTTTTAACCAATGTGCCACAAGAGGCACAAGAGGCACACTGGTGTGCCACAAGAATTGTTAAAACATGCAGGACCTGACTAGTTAGTCAGGGGCACTGACCTATTTCCTCTTGGATTGTCAAATAAAAAACAATGGCAGCCAACACAACAGTAGCTGTCCAGTATGAATGAATAAAAATTATACCTATTTTTTGTCAGATGGACAAAAACCATATTTTCTGGTGTGCCTTATAAGTTTAGTAATTAGTTTGTTTGAGTGGCTAATGTGTGCCGTGAAAAAGGTTGGAAATTCCTGAGCACTTAGTTATTGGGCAGCAGCATTTGACTCTGCCCATCCTCTGGGTCGGGCTTGAGCTTTCCCTCCCATCCCCCATCAGCTCTGGGCTGGGCAGGGCAGAGGCTCTCTTCTAGACCTGAGCCCAGCATGGGGAAGTGGGCAAGCCCACTGCAGAAAGCTGCCAGACATTTTCTGTGATCACCACAGGGTGGCCCAAAGAAAGGCCATAGCCCAGAGGAGAAGGTCAAGTCTGTGGACTAAGCAGGGTCACCTCACAGAGGAGTCATGCTCATTGGGTTTTTCAGGAGCTCATTCCAGCCTCAGGGAAGGACACGCTTTCTGAGGCTGCAAAGTGGGAAGTGTGTTTAGGGGTAGGTAGATGGAAGTGTGCAGCTTGAAGGCACCTGACATCCGGGTAGGTAAAAGGAGGTAAAAGATGCTCTCTCCTCCTGCGACAGCAGCCCGGCCCCCCACTGCCGTGTTGCCCAGAAGAGCAGACAGAAAGGAGTGTCCCAAGTGAAGGCGCATTTCTCAACCTCACCCTCAGTTCTGCTGGCGAATCCCCCAGGAAAGCATGCAAAATGGAAGTGGCACACTAGCAGACCCCTGACATTGCCGACATGCCACACTGTTTGCCATCTGCTTGTCAGGCCAGTTTTAAGGACTGCAAGGAAGGGTGATTTAGGGGACGGTTCTCAGGCCAGGCTCCTCCCTGGCTTAGTTTCCTTTGCCTTTGGATGGGACACTGGCCGTCTCTTGGCATATCCGATGTCATCGTCCTGACTGGTGAGTAAAGAGGCCGCTGAGCTCTGAGCACCAGTCTCCCCTCACCCAGGGCACACAGACTCCTGCCTGCCCACACCAGCACATCTGACACTGCTCCACCGAGCAGCCTGGCTCTGTGGGACTGAGGCTCAGTGATCCCAGCCCCCATGTGACCCTGGCTGGGAGGCTCCTGGCTCCTTCTGAGGACAGCAGGCAGTTGCCCCCTCCCTGAGTCCCCAATTACCCTGCCTGAAATAAATGCCCCTAGTTGGACCTAGAGAAGGGTTCTGCTTTCCCTTCTGCACAGGCAGGATGGAAGATGCCGCCCCACCTGTCTGACCTGAGACAGACCTAGCTTCCCAGGGGGCCTACCTGCCGCTGGGTCCTGGCCACATCCTGTTCCCACAGGGGCAAGGGGAAAGGGGGGGGAGGGAGGCTGAGAAGGTGCGCGGCCAGGGGTGGGGAGAGCCAGGACAGCGCAGGGAAGGAAGATGGAGGGAGGTACACGGGAAAACAGCTTTCTCCTCCCTGGAGTTGGGAGCGATGAATCCACAGGCCTTTTTTTCCACTGAAATATGAGCGTTTCAAGGGTGAGCGCTGCCCTCCCCGCCGCCGCGAGCGCCCGCGGTGTGTGTGCGCCCGTGCGCGCGCCTCCGCCTGTGTGTGCTCCTGTCGCTGTCATCACAGATGTGCCCCCAGCTGTCACTCCATTGCTTCAGCTCCGCGCTCGCGCCTGCTCCCTCCTCCTCTCCCCTCGCTTTCCCTCTCTGTCTGTCTGCCTCGGTCCCTCCCTCTTCCTCTCGCAGTTTGTTATTGACCCGGCAGCCCCGTCCCCTCGGCGGCGGCGGCGGCGGCGGCGGCGGCATTCCTTCTCCCCGGGCTGTGAGCTGCGTGCCAGGTCCCCGCTCGCGGCGGCGGACTGCAGGCTCGGTGCCCACTGCGCTCCACTTGGCTGTGTGTCTGGCTTCCTCCAGGAATCCCAGGAGGGTTTGTGGAACGGCTCACAGCTACTTGATTCAAGGCGCCTGAGGTCAGGGTGGAGAAAGGTGAGTGCTGTGCGCTCCTGGGAAGAAATAAAGGATTCCCGGGCACAGGGTGGCTGGGGCATGGGGACTTGGGTCCTGTCTCTGCCCTGCACACATGGAGAGCAGCTGCCGCCTCCCGCTTGGGGCAGTTGCTGGGCCGGGGCTGGGGGAGTGCTCAGGCTGGGGCATCTGGGCAGGCCACAGAGACAGGACACAGGGCACTCTGACCTCACAGTGTTGAGGACATGAGCTAGGATTCTACTGGGGAGGGGAAAAGCAGGGGTGAGGAGGGCAGTGCCAGTGCCAGATGGCAGGCCTGTGTGGCATAGAAACCAGTCCTGCGGCGAGGGGACAGACAGCCAAGAGCCCTGTGCCGTCTGCATGCCTGGCTCAGCAGACAGCCTGAGGAAGTTGGGTTCTGTGGGGAAGGAGGTGCTGGCGACATGGCTGGGACAGGGCATGGTGGCTGGGCATGGGGGTGGCAGGCTGGAGCCCTGTGCTGTCTGGGGCACAGGAATTGACCAAGTGGTCCCAATCTCTGCTCAGGATGCTCTCAGGGAGGGGCCGTGGCCTTAGGCAGCTGTCCTTGGAGGAGCCCTTTCCTGGCTGGACGTGGGTCCCCAATGCTGTGGGGAAGCCCTGGGGAGGCGTGGCTGGGAGTGGAGGGGGAGAGAGCCTTAGCTCTTCCTTGGCAAGCCCCAGGCCGGGCTCCTAGCCGTCCTGAGGCTCAGTGGGGGCTGTGGGCTTAGCTTAGCCAGTTTTGAGGCTGCAGAGAGAGGGGGCCTGACCAGGAGTCGCGACCTCCCCCTCAGTTCCGGGCCAGCTGCTTGGTCTTCCCGGAGCTGTGCAGTCTGTGTTTCAGGGGTGACGGTGGGGAGGCTGGCTCCTGGCTATCATGGCATGTTGGGCATCACCTCGCTGTGACTCAGATCGACACTCTGCTGCTTAGATAATAACTATACCGGTGGGGGGCGGGGAGGGCAGCCAGCACGTGGAGATGGGCGGGGGAAGTCCAGCCTGAAGGGAAACCCACAGCAGCTTCCTGCGCTTCCCACCCCACCTCCCATTGGCACAGTCCCTGGCGCTGCCAGAGAGGGAGACCAGGAAAGCCAGCCGGGGGCGGTGGGAGAAGGAGGAAGGTTTTTAAAGAAACCGATCTGGTTTCTTTGGGATTTGGCTGGAAGCTGTGTCTGGGGCTCGGATAGGCAAACTCTGTCCCATTTCCTAGGTACCAAAGCCTGGGCAGGGGGCTGCTTTGGGCTGGGTGGGCAGCATGCTGAGGGGGCAGGGATTTATGAAATGTTGGGGTATCTGGGGACCTCGGGTGGGGAGAGGAGAAGAAGTCTAAGCAGAGGCAGTCTCTCCCCTCTCAGGGCCTCCCTCCCAGATCAGGCCTCCTCTGGCCCTGCCAGCCCGGCCCTGAGCCCCGATCCAGGCCTCAGTGACACGTAGCTCCCTCATGAGGAGTGACGAGGGGCTTTTCCGCTTCCTGAGGGTCTGTCTGGATTGGGAACGCTCCATGAGAAAAGCAGGTGCGGGAAGCCAGGGGTGAGAATGGGAAGTGCATCTGGAAATGAGCCAGAAGGCTTTGTCTGTTCCAAGTAGAAATACAGAGATTTAAGCCCGCTTCCATGCTGCTGGCAGCGTGTTTGGGGATGACCGGCAGGGAAGATTGAGATTGTTTCCTGAGAGGCCCTGACCGCCAGGCTGGAGGCGGCAGGAGGGCCCAGCTCTGCATGGTCTCTGCCACACGGGCTCAGCCTGGGCACCCCACCCCCAGGTCTCTCTGCCCTCCTTGAGGGGATGGGGGCACTGAAGTGGCTCCAGCCCCGGCCTGCCTCTCACTAGCCGGGGGCCTTCACCTCTGTGAGGAACAAAGGAGGGGCAGAGGAGGCAGCAAAGGCCCCTTTTGCTTCTGGGTTTAGTGAGTCAGGGGCACCCTTAACCTGATCTAGGTGCCTTGACCAAGGGGAGAGACCAGGCCAGGTGTGCACAGCAGGGCCAGCATGCTGTCTCAGGGGCCGAACTCCAGGTCCAGGCACAATGGGCGTTTGCTGGCTGCATTTGGACACGTGACTTGGGGGGGATGGACAGGCAGAAGCATCAGAGGAAGGGCATGGATGCCAGGCCTGTGGGGGGTTTCTCAGTGGTTTCCAGCTGGAGTCTGAGCCCACTCCACTTGGAGGGTTAACCTCACCTGTGGGAGGGATGGCTGGGGCGGAGGCACGGAGAGGCCAGGCTCCCAGCCACCCTAACCCCAGCCGGGAATGTGAGCAGGCAGGCTGCTCCTCGCCATGGGGGCTGAGGTGAGGTGAGCCCTGGGGTAGCAGATCCCACCCTCCTCTCCAGGGGTCACCACACCCACTCAGCTCGGCAGGAGCACAAGGAACCTTCTGCTCTCGCTGCTGCCTCCTGTTCCATCGCTCCCTTCCCAGCCCTGGCTTCGCTGAGCTCCCAGCTTATCCTCCTCACCTCAGCACTTAACCCTCTGCCAGAAAGGTTTCTAGAAAGCTCCCTCCACTCCCTTGGCCAGATTTTGGCCCCTGGAGCATCCCTGCTGCATCTGCGATATTTCTGGACAGACTGGGGACACTGGTGGCATCTCAGTCCAGCAGGGCACAGAGCTCACATCTCCATCAGCAGGAGGGGTCAGAGCACACATCTCCTCAGCTCCAGGGAGAGCAAATGAAGAGACGCGTTAACTGTGAGATTCTGCACATGCGGAAGGAAGACTGCATCTGCCCCTCCTGCCCTTTCCTTCCACCAGGACCTCGGTGTGCAGGCAGACCCGGGGCAGGACAGACCTGGACCTGCAAAGGCAGCGGAGTTAGGAGCTTTGCCCCAGACCACTCGGGCCCAAAGCTGTATTCTTCCCTTACCTAGCCTGAAGGAAGTTACCTAACTTCATGTGCCTCAGTTTCCCCATCTATGAAATCGTGTTAATAGTACTACTAACTTCAGGAGTTGTTATGAGGACTAAGAACACAGGCGTTTGCGGCTACGGTGATAGCTTCTCCCCATCCAGAGGCTTCCGGAAGGAGATGCTAATGTGAATACCCTCACCTCTCTGCCCAGGTCACCGCCACGCCCTGCCTGGGACTGGCTTCCAGAGGCTGGCCAGCATGATCTCCTGGACCTGGGGGTGCGGGATTGGCTGGGAGAGATGTGACTGAGCCCAGCCTCCTCAAATTTAGATATGCATACAAATTGTCTGGATCTTGTGAAAATGCTGGTTCCGATTTTTAAAAGATCTTCACCCAAGGGTATTTCCCCCATTGACTTTTAGAAAGAATGGAAGGGAGTGGTGTTAGCAGGGGAGAGAGAGAGAGAGAGAGAGAAATATTGATGTGAGACACATTGACTGGTTGCTACTCCCCCTCCCCCAGCCCCAACCAGGGCAGGGGATCAAACCTGCAACCCAGGTAAGTGCCCTTGACTGAGAATTGAACCCTCTACTCTTTGATGCATGGATCAACACTCTACCACTGAGCCACATCAGCCAAGACATTACTATGCTGATTCAGGCCTGTGTGGGGCCCGAGACTCTGCATTTCTAAGAAGTTCCTAGGTCAGCCCAAGCTGCCGGGCCACGGACCACACTTTGAGCAGCAAAGGGTTGGAGCACACAGCCCCGTGTTCTCAGGGAGTTCCCCATTTGACTGCTTTTAGCTCCTGAGCCCTATCATCCAATCCGAGTTCTCCCAGAAAAGCCCATGTAGGAGGGCCCCTGGGACTGGGACAGAAAGTCCTGTGAGGATCCAGAGCTACAAGGCTGTGGACTTGGAGGTAGGAGATCTTTCTGGCAGGACCCCTGACTCTTCCCACCTTCACTCCCCACCCTGGGTGGGGCTGCCCTCCTGATGGCATTCATTTACTCAGCAGCTGGCCGTGCTTGCTGCAGCTGCTGCTCCTCGAGCTTCCTATGTAGGCCGCCCCCTTCCCAATGAGGCAGGGAGACTTTGGGGGCAGAGAGGAGTCCTTTGGATGGAGGTGAGCAGATGGGCAGAGGGCCAAGGAGCTAGAAAGTGCTGGGCTCAAGCCCATATTTCCTGAAGGGCCACTTCTCTGGTGCCCCAGGGCATAGTCCCGTCACATTTCTCTAGAGAGGCGAGGGGCAACAGTGTCCTGCAGCCTTGCAGCACTCTGCCTGCGGGTCTGCATTGTGGAGACCTGCCTGCCCTGCTTTGTATAGGGACACCATTCTGGGGGTGGGGCAGCAGGACCTGCGCTTGAGACTACTACCTCCCCCGAGTGGTGCTTGGGCGCTCCTTTCTGAGAGGACACAGACCGGGTAGATGAGGAGTCTACGGGAAAGGGAGTCTACTTGAAAGAGGAGCCCTAGCTGGTTTGACTCAGTGGTGAGAGAGTCAGCCATGGACTGAAGGGGCGTGTGTTCAGTTCCAGTCAAGGGCACATATCTTGGCTTCAGGCTTAATCTCCAGCCCCTCGTGGGAGGCAACCAATCAATGTGTCTCTCAGATTGATGTTTTTCTCTGTGTCTTCCCCTCCCTTCCACTCTCTAAAAGTCAATGGGAAAAATATCCTTGGGTGAGGATTAACATAAAAAAACATAACAAATAACAATAACAAAACAAAAAAACAAAAAAAAAGAGGGAAGAAGAGGAGGCTCCGGTGGAATAGGGCCTCGGCTTGGGGTGGGGGTTCTCCACCATCTGCTGCCCTGCAGGAAGCTGGAGAGAGTGGGAGCGGAAGGTGGATTGGGCCCCATCCCTGCGTTGGTCTGCGCAGAGAATACGTTGTGGCGTGGGGCTTGCTTTAGCCCTCACTTCTAGGCCGGAGAGGTCCCTGTGCACCTGTCTGCTGGGGGCTCTCACTCCGCTGCCCCATGCTGCATGTGAGGAGGAGTGCAGACAGGGCAGGCACGTGTGTGTGTGTGTGTGTGTGTGCGCGCACGCACGTGCCTAACTACACGGCTTTCTGTGGGTGTGTGTTTGTACCAAGTGCTGTGTTGGGAGCTCCAAGCATGTGTCTGGGAGCCTGTGTGCCCCCCTCTGTGCACACTTAAGTGTCTCCCCGCAGAGGCCATGCCAGGTGAGTCATCAGGCAGTGGAGGAGCAGCCAGGCTCCTGATGTGGCAGAGGGGCAGAGGAGAGACAAAGCTGCAACTCTATTCCTGACCTAACGTGTGACCTTGGGCAAGTTGGCCATTGTCTTCTTACCTTGGGTGGCCATTGACCTGCCTGATGTGTGTGGGTGCTGTGAGCTTTTGCTGTGAGGGATCTTGCTGGAGTAAGATTGTTCTGAGGGTCAGGGCCTGAGAGGCAGAGAGGGTGGCCACTACTGTCTGTGGCGGGGGTGTGTGAACCTGTGTGTGTGTGTGTGTGTGTGTGTGTGTGATCATGCCCTGCAGTGAGCACTACATGATGTCCACAGCCTGGCACAGGCTCAGGAATGCAGCACCTGCTCAGAGCAGAGAAGCGGGGCCACGTGTGAGGTTGGTGGGGCCACGTGTGAGGTTGTGGGACAGGAAGGAGATGTCTCATAGGCCTGTTGCAGGCTACTGGGTTTTTTCCTCATCTGTCAGGGACTCAGCTTTCACCTGAATTATCTTCTAAGGTAATTTTTGTGTTTAATAGAGTAAATGTTAACTCTCCTCCTTTATTATAGTTAGGTTGATCCTCACGAAAATTCCGCCCATTGAGTACTGCTGTCATCACTTTTAGAGCTAAGTGAGGCCCTGAGAGTTTTGCTGTTTGTTTAAGGTAATTCAGGGAGGGTTTGGACAGAGCCCTGTCTGACCTGGGCATTTGAACCAGGATCCTGCCAAGGACAACACCAGCCCTGCCCTGAGCATCTATCCCACGCCCCAGCCCAGGGCCGTGGGGCTGTCCAGTTGTTGAGACACACTCTGCCAGCCCCTGCGGGGCCTTCACACAGAGTCCACCTCATGTGGCAGAGGGGCAGAGGAGAGACAAAGCCAAGAGAGAGCGGCCTCCCCCGCTGAGCAGGGCTGAAGGCCCCGCGGGGGCCGCTGGGTTCTAAGTGGGCTCTGCCGCTCTCCAGGAGGCAGCTGTAACCCAGGGCTGCGGACAGTCTTTAGGAGACACCAGAGCTGCAGCAGGACCTTAGATGCCTGAAGGAAACTCTGCTTCGCAAGGTTTCAGAGCGGAGCATGCCAGCGTCTCAGCAGCTCTCCACCTCCTCAGCTGTCTGCTGAGCTCTGCCTGGCTTCTCCGGCTCCCGGAATTAACCAGGCCTGTGGGAGGGGGAGGGAGGAAAGATGGCAACCAGCTATCACCCAGGGATGAACTTGGCAACCAAGACAGATGGGACTCCAGGAGCACCCAGGAGCACCGGGGCAATAGGCTGGCAGGGCTGTGCTTTGGGAGCAGCAGGAGGCTGGGCTGTTGGCAGTCTCCTCTGTCCCTTTCCCCACCTCCTTTGCCCTCTCTGTTGTGGCCACCACCACAGTCCCATGCCCACCCCTCATGGGGCTAGGGGAGTGGAGGCCCCGGGCTCTGTCTCAGGGCCCTTGGCCATGCCCGAAAGGAAGTGGGGACAAGAGGAGGGCCTGTGTCTGCTTTATGAGTCCCTGCGTTGGGGCAGGGCAGGTCCTTGAGACCCTAGAAAGGGTGAGTACCCTCTTCCGTCCTCTCTGGAAGGGAAGCCTGCTTCCTGCTCCTTCTGGTTCGCAATCTCACTGTCTCCTCCCTGTCCCTGTCTCCGTGCCCGTCTCCATGTCCCTGCCTCCTGCTGGAGCAGCTGCCGCCCCAGCATGAACCCCTGAGCCGCTGAGTCTTATTATAGCCGGCGAGAAAGACACACACTGCGACTCACCTCCCAGGCGACAGTGGAGGGGAAGCAGGCCCCCCAGCAGCAGGAGGGGGACCTGGGCCGCACACCGGACGCAGCGGCGGGCTGTGGAGGGCCTGCTCTCTGCCTCCTCGGGGCCATGGTAAGTGTGGCAGTGGGACTGTGACCAGTGGTGCCCGTGGCCTCACTCTGCACCCGGCAGAGATGTCCCTTTGTTTCCACAGCGTGCCCCCGAAAGGCCCAGACAGAGGAGGCCCTTGGGCTCTGAAAACATTTTAGAGACCAACACATAAGAAGGGGCTGGGGAGGGGACGCTGGGGAGAACGATTTCCAGTCCCACAGCCCAGAGCTCAGCACTGCACCTCAGACTGGGGGCCCCTGGCATGCCTGAGCCCCCGCATCACCCCGACCACCCCGGGAGGCTGGCGATTTGTGGTTTCTCTGCCTCGCAGGCCTCTCCTCCCCCCACCCAGGGATCAGAGCTGGAACAGGAGAGGGAATGACTAGCAGTGTAAAGAGACACCGGGCCCTCTCCCTAACCCCTGGGCCGGATGGGCCTGTGCCTCAAGTGCCTGCTCTGCTCAGGGAGTCCTCTTCCTCTCCCCCAGGACTGACAGGGAGTGCCTACGAGGGCTCCTCCGTCCGGGCGGTGCAGGGCTGCGAGAGCTGCTGCCTCACCATGCTGGCCCCCGGCGGCGGCCCCGAGCAGAGGACCAGGCTGGCCCTGCCGTGGAGGCAGGTCTCCTGTGAGTATGGAGGGGGTGGGGCCGGGTGCAGGGTCAGCATGGCCTGCAGTGACCGCCCGGAGGTCAGTCTCTTTCCGGGAGGCCCACGGCTTGGCTCTGGGAACCCAGGAACCACCTTGTGCAACCTGCCGTGCCTTTGGCATCTGTGAGGGCTGAGAAAGAGTCGCCGCTGAGAGCCTCAGTGGTTGGAGCAGGAGCTGGAGTCCTGTTTCCCCACGTCAGTCTCCTCCGGAACCAGGAAGTCCACCCCACACCCAGAGGTTCCAGCTCCTGGGGCCCCGATGCTCTAATGTGAGCCTCCCTCTTGTCTCTTGTCTCTCCCGCTGGGTGAGCATGGAGACCCTCTTATGCCTCAGTCTTCCCACCTCTGAAATGGGGGATTAGTGGGCTCTTGGGATGTGGTGCTGGAAAAGGTATGAGGGACCAGCCCTGTGTATGAGGAAAAGGCCCTCTATTTCCCATAAGGGAACTTACAAAGTTGTCAGGGTGCCAGAAGCCCTGAGAATTCTCTTCGGGTGCGGTAATGGGAAAGGTTGGCGAGGACTGGGTTGCCCATGGTGAGAGGTAAGAGAAGGCCCTGAGGACACACACTGCCAGGCTTCTCCCTCGCACGGCCAGCCCTGTCATGCAGCCGCCTCACACAGCAGCCTGAATTATTCACTACATGCGTGGCTGATCCCGGCGATCAGCTCCCCTTTCAGCCTCATTCTGGAATCACTCCAACACCTCGCAATACAGGATCCCATTTTCTCATCGCCAGGACATTCATGCCACTCTGAGTTTCTTGGGGGTGGGAAAAGATGGCTGCTGAGGATGTGGAATGTTTTGAGAGGGAAGCTGAATGGGCTGGGAAAGTGAAGCCTGAAGAAGGCAATTTTTAAAGGGCATGGTGGGGCCGTGTGGGGGAGGCTGACCTGGCAGCAGCTGGGCTCAGAGGGGTGACAAGGTGAGAGGTGGCAGCAGGGGCCCCCGTGTGGCCAGGAAGGGTCTCCAGTTGGCCTCTATGGCCGTGCCTGTGCTCACTTCCCCTCGAGAACAAAGAGGCTCAGGTGTCAGCCTTGCAGTGTGTCTCTCAGCTGTCACTGATCCCCAGCAGGGGAGGGATACTGCCCCATCCTGTTCCTGCCACATCTGCCCTTTGGCAATCCAGACGACCAGACACCTACCAGACACAGACTCAAGACCATCCCTGCTGCTTCCCCGGGTGGGGCCAACCGGGCCAGGACCTGGGTCTGGGCATCTCCATCGCTTCTCCAGCTGGGCCTTTCCTCTGGCTTCTTGGGGCTGCCTTAGTTTGGATGAGCTAGTTTGAGCTCATCCCTTTTCCCTTTTATAGTGAGCAGGCTTCTTTGACTATTTAGGGGGCAATTAAGGTTTTTTTCAGTCACTCTCAGAAAGGGTTGCTGGACAATGGAATGACCTGCCCTGTTGTGATCGTTCTCTGAGGCCCCCCAGCCCTTCCACAGACCAGGCCCTGTGCTTGCTACTCAGAGGGTCCTGGGCAAAACATGGGGCCATGAAGGGAATTATGTTAATGGATTCTTTCTGCAGAAATGCTGCCCTGCAACCCTCAGGGACAGGAGTTCAGGCTCTGGGCATGGGTGCCTCTGAGAATGAATAGGAGCTTGTCCTAAGCCCATGGTTTGCAGTGGCTTGGGCACACTTATTCTTCAGTGTGAAGTGGACCTGGGTGTGCTGGACTCCTTGCTGGTCCTCATGCTAAGTTAAGGGCCCTGTCTTAGATGTGGACTCATGCAAATTTGACACACCGGGAGGTTTGGGGGGCACACTTGGAACACCCCTTTGTGCCCTTCCTTCTGTGTGGTATGTCTTAGCCTAGCGCAGGTGCAGGTTGGGGGTGCGGTGAGGAGGGAGAAGGAAGCAGCAGTGTGGCCATTTTCTTTTGGAAAGAGAAGGTTCTCCTGGCAGTGACTCTGGGACAGGGCCCTGGGGGCAGGTTTCTCAAGCATCCTTATGTTCTTCATTTTGTCAACATTTGTAGTGTCAGTGGGCTCAGCTCCCAGGAGATCAGCTGTGGGAGGCCACATGAGCTGAGACATCTTTGTGGACCAGCCTTGCTTGTTCCTGGACTGAGGCCTATCGTTCTGCAGGGTCATACTGGTCATACTGCAGGGTCATGGGAGGGGTTCTTTTGCCAGATGTGCTGCGGGCAAGGAGCCCTGCTGACACCGTGCAGTGTCCATTCACATGGAAGTACTTGGGACTTTAAAATTATCTTTTTATGTGGCCAATGAGTGTTTGTGCATTGGCTGTGGCTTGGGCCATTGTGGTATGAACTAGTAAGGCAGGAGTAGAGGCAGAAGGAGCTCTCACCTGCCACTTCCTTTCTCCCTGTCTGCCCACCTCCCTGCTTCCCCACCAGGGATCACCTGCTGGATCGCCCTGTCTGCTGTGGAGGCCCTCCCCGTCTGCCCTTTCCTCTGTAAGTGTGACTCTGGCCGCCTGGAGGTGGATTGCAGTGGCCTAGGCCTCACCACGGTGCCCCCAGACTTGCCTGCTGCCACCCGAACTCTCTTGCTCTTGAACAATAAGCTGAGTGCCCTACCAAGCTGGGCATTCGCCAATCTGTCCAGCCTGCAGCGGCTGGACCTCTCCAACAACTTCCTGGACCAGCTGCCCCGCTCCATTTTCGAGGACCTGACCAATCTGACTGAGCTGCAGCTGCGCAACAACAGCATCAGGACCCTGGACAGGGACCTGCTGCAGCACTCACCCCTGCTCCGCCACCTGGACCTGTCCATCAACGGCCTGGCCCAGCTGCCCCCGGGCCTTTTCGACGGACTCCCTGCTCTGCGCTCCCTGTCGCTTCGCTCCAACCGCCTGCAGAACCTGGACAGGCTGACGTTTGAACCCCTCGCGAGTCTGCAGCTATTGCAGGTGGGGGACAACCCCTGGGAGTGTGACTGTAACTTGCGTGATTTCAAGCACTGGATGGAGTGGTTCTCTTACCGAGGTGAGCACAGCCAGCCCTGCCTGGGTGTGAGGAATTGGGAGGGTCACTCCTAATCCAACACATTTCCTGGAGGCTGGGCTGAGGTCAGGGGAGAAGGGCTGGCCCTGCCTCTTCACCAGCCACTCTGAATCTCCAAATGACCAGCAGGCGGGGAGCTGGGGTGCTGCTCTCTCTCCTCCCCCACTGACCCCCTTCTTCTCTGTGCCTCCCTCCCTTTCTCTTCTCTTTTTCTTTCAGATTGACTCATGGTAACTTGATCTTCCTTTCATAGGTTTCATGAGGGAACTTAAAGACACAGTATACTTTTTCTCTGCATCCCACTAGATATGGCTCTGGGATTCCATAGTATAGTAGAAGGAGAAAGGAAAACCATTTTTTCTTCTCTGAATACAGCAATCTCTTAAATATCCATTGTATTTGGATGGTGGAATGTAATGTAAAACCACAGATAAAACCAAATTTTTGTTTTGCTGATGATCTCAACTCCCTCTTCCAAGAACTTTTGTCATCAAAGCTTTAATAAGAAGCCAAATGGTTTTACTTTCTTTCCCTTCCCTCTTTCATTAACTGATTAAGTTCTATAATGACCTATGAAATGATGAAATGAAATGGGAAAGGAGGGCAAAGAATTAAGCCCAGTGGCTAAAGGTGCCAGATCTGGGTTTGCTTTGTGGCTCTGCCACTTACAAGCTGTATGATCTTGAGGAAGTTGATTAATTTTTGTGTCAGTGCACGCATCTGTAAAATGGAGGATGACTAACATATCTATTTCATAGAATCGTTGTGAGGATTAAATAGGTAATACATGTGAAGTGTCTGAAAAAGTGCTCAACATAAAGTAAGTCCTCAATAAAACATATGCATTTGTTCATTGGCTAGTAGTAGTCATTATGTTAAATGGACTTAGTAAGATACAATTTGGTGCCCAGCACGAAGTAGGAGCTCAATGAATATTTGCTGAATGAATCAATATGAAAAATCATGGTGAAAGGAATGCTAACATTTTTCATCAAAGTCTCACTCCTTTCACTTCATATGTAGCCAAAATCCCAATTATTTGCAAGACATTCTCATATGCTAATTATTAAAAAGATTTTACATACTGTAAAGTGCCAGATCTTGTTAGTCACTTTGATAATTTTCCCATTTTTGCGAATGGAGAAATAATACTTGCATAGTACCTACTTTACAAGCATTATTTCATGTATATTATCTATTGTAATCCTCAGATCTAATTGAGATGGCCTTATTTTTTAGCCAAGAAAGGTAAGTCTCATAAGCAATTAAATACAATAAGTTGTACAAGATGACACTCTCAGGTCTTTGGAGCAGGAAGATAAGGTTGCCCCTGTCAGCACCCAGCTCCTGTCTGTGGAAAGGCTGCCCTGGATGGAAGACTTGCTAAGGCCACCCAGCAGTCAGCATCAGGGATGGGGTGGGGGCTAGAGGCCAAGTGTCTTCAGACCCAGACCCATATGCTGTCCCTAGGGAACATTCTTGCCCTTTCACACAGCCATCAGGAACTAAACTTTCAGCATAAATGGGTAAGGAATGGGAATGTATATTTTCAGAAATTTTCAATAGTAGAGTTGTTGTCAGCATTGCACTCCTTTAAAAAGAAATCCTGGTCTGTTTTCATCAGCATCCTGGGGGAAGATTGATGCCTATTGTACACAGCAGCTGGGCTGAGAGAGGGAGCTGGCAGTGAGGGGTGGCAGCAGCCAAGTCCTTGCACAGGCTCTATTGCCTGCATCTAGATTTCACTGGAACTGACTCTGGCTTCCAGGGCATGTCTGGGCAGCTCATTCTCCTTAGCTGCTGGCTCTCTCTCTCTCTCTCTCTCTCTCTCTCTCTCTCTCTCTCTCCCCCTCCCTTCTTTCCTCCCTCCCTCCCTCTCTGTGTCCTGCTTCTCCATCTCCCATGGTGGAGTGGCTTCACCATTGTCATGATAAACCTGTGCACCAATCACTGCCCCCTCCTTCCCCCCACTCGCCCCATTAGCACTGGTCCCTCTCCTTTGCTCTCAAAGGTCTTCAGGATTTTCTCCCAAGATGCCTCTGCACTCAGAGATGCTGAGGTTGGGGTGCTGATGGGCCATTAGATTGCTCTAAAGGGGAGAAGAGAAACATTCTCTCCCAACCCCTTTTTCTCTGTACTCCAAGGAGGTACTCGTAGGCAACCAAAAGGTCCTGCATGGAAGAGTGGTGGCTTTGGCAGTGACTGTTGGCTTTTGTCCTTTTTGTGAGGAAAGAGGCCCAGAGGGATAGGATTGAGCACAGTGCCCTGGGCACACAGCAGGTGGGAGGCAGGCAGATGCAGGGAGAGAAGTGGGACTGCAATCTGGCAGGGCTCTTGGCCCTCTCTTGGCACTGACAGCTCTTTCCTGAGCACTCCCACCCTTTAGCATTGTCTTGCCTGATGGGTCAGGTTGGCTCCAGAGCAAGTAAGCATGACTGAAATGGTTGTGTGCTTCTCTACAAAATGGGAATAATGACAATACCCATTTTACATGGATCAAATGATGTGATACATGTGCCTCACCCACCATGGTACTTGGCTCAATGGATGCTAGTTTCCTCTCCCCTCCCTCTCCTATCCACATGATCCCAGGACTGACCACATTGCTCCTAGACACTAGAACTGGGCCTTCCATTTCTGGAACCTGGGGATGGGGAGAGGGAGTCCAGCTTCTGGATGCCTGGTCATCTCCTCCTTTTGTCTCGCCCAATGCAGGGGGGCGCCTGGACCAACTTGCCTGCACCCTCCCCAAGGAGCTGAGAGGGAAGGACATGCGCGTGGTCCCCATGGAGATGTTCAACTACTGCTCCCAGCTGGAGGGCGAGAACAGCTCAGCCGGGCTGGACAGTCCCGGACCACCCTGCACCAAGGCCAGCCCAGAGCCTGCGAAGCCCAAACCGGGGGCCGAGCCTGAGCCGGAGTCCAGTACAGCCTGCCCCCAGAAGCAGAGGTACCGGCCCGTGAGCGTGCGCCGGGCCATCGGCACCGTGATCATCGCCGGGGTCGTCTGCGGCATCGTCTGCATCATGATGGTGGTGGCTGCTGCCTACGGCTGCATCTATGCCTCCCTCATGGCCAAGTACCACCGGGAGCTCAAGAAGCGCCAACCGCTCATGGGGGACCCGGAGGGGGAGCATGAAGACCAGAAGCAGATCTCCTCGGTGGCCTGAGAACCTGGCCACACCTGGCCCAGGTAGGAAGGGCAAGGAGAGTGCATGGAGGCTGCTTCCAGAAGAGCTGGCCCTTCTTTCTGCCACAGTCCCGGGCTCCTCTCCCACCGCTCCCCGCCGCGCCCCCCCCCCCCAGCCCAGCCCTCCAGCAAACCAGCCACAGCGGGACCTCCAGTCTCCGGGGAAGCTGCCATCATGCTGAGGCTCCAGTGGATGCTCCTTCCTGGGCCCCCAGCTCTTTGGGTCCCCCTGAGCCTCTGGTCACAGAGAAGGAAGACTATGTGTGCAAGTGGAGCCTCTGGGCTGAATACTCCCTTGCCCTTCCTGCCCGAGTGTGGTCCACCGCTAGGTGACTCTCAGACCTCCTGCTCAACCTCTCTCACCTGCGTCTAGGGGCTGGGGACGAAGTTATATGAGGGCAAGGGATTCATTTCTGAGACTCTCTTTTAAGCCAGGAAGATATTCTTAACCACCCTTCAGTGTGAAAGTTGGGTCCAGCTTTCAAAAGCTGGTACTCACGTGCAAGCCCACCAGCCCTGTCACCGGGATCTAGCGCCTAGAAACACAGCGAGGGTCGCTGTGACTGTAACACACTCCCGCGGCTGCAGCCGTCATGCCCCTATATCTGCTAGAGACCACGCCGACCACCTTGCTCCTGGATTCACTAATTTACTCTGACACTAACTCATAGCATCACCAGCGAAATCACATCAACTGACAAAAATCCCACACACGTGCACACACAGTCACATGGAGGCAGAGGTCAGGAGAACTCGGGGAGCGGAGCATGCTTCCCCTTGGGTGTCCAGCCCTCAGCACCGAAACTTCTGCTTGCTCATCGCCATCTTCTCAAGTCAACACGAGGGAAACCCAAACTGACAGCACAGGATGCCTTTGAGATCCTCTAAAGTGGGCCAAGTGGATGAGCCTGCCTGTCACCATGGTAACCCTCTCACCTGTCCTGCTGGGTTTTCCAGGGAACCAGCCCAGAGGCCTTGAGGCTGCAGAGCCTGTGGATGGCAGCCTCCTGAGAGCCCAGGGGGCCAAAGTGCATCATCACTGCCAGCCCCGTGGGGACACCCACCGATCCCCCTCCTGCAGCCCGCAGCCCGAGAGCCATTGCTCCGCACCTCTCCCCTCCTTCCGCACCTCTGGGCCTGACCTCGGGTGGGGACTGGCCACATCTTGGGAAAGCAGGTGCCCCCGTGAAGCTCACACAGAGAGACTGCGGCACTCTGCTCAGGGCTCCCGTGATGGGCTTCCTCTCCCACGGTTTGGTCCGCTCAGGCTGGCTCCCAAGAGTTCTCCTTTGCACCTGGACGGGCTCCAAACCAGAACAAGGGCAGGGTCCTGTTTGTTCCTTGCTTGAATCTACACCACATGGACGGAGATACCTGCTGGCAGAGTTGTGGGAATGGCAGTGAGAAGGGGGCTGTGCAGGGTTTGAGGGTCGCTCAAGGCGGCCCAGGTAGAGGTTGCTAGAACATGAGGCCCAGGGTCTGAGGAAGGACAGGGAAGCACAGAGCAGGCCCAGATCAACTTGCACCTCTCACCCCCTGTATCTCATAGAAGAGCATAGTAGGGGCGAGGGCTTGGAGGAGAGGCAAACTTGCCTTTGAAAGGGCCATTCTCCAGGAAAGGGGTTGCCGAGGGTGCCCCAGCAAGGCTTCTAAGTGCCCTCCCTTGTGTGGGGCACAGTCTTCCTTCTTTTGGTTTGCCAGCTGAAACCAGATGTAGGTGGAAGGGTGGACATTGTCAATGGTGGTATCTTCACTTTGAGACAGAGATTTTTAAAGGCAAAATTATATTTCTGGTTGGTTGTTTCAGAAGACCAATAAAGACTGTATTTTCCTATGTACTCCCTGGTTTCTTTGGGTGGGGAGGGGATGTGAGTGCTGGGAGATGGCTTCCGGCCCCCCACCCCCGGGCAACTGCACAAAGTGCTGCCAGATGTCACCCTGATGTCCAGAGCTCTGTAAGGCAGGGGGGAGCCTTCATGGCCTCGCCTCGGGGTGCCACCGGGAGGAGTGAGGGCTGAGCTCAGCAGCTGGGCCTGTTGGTGGCCTGTCAGGAGGTGCGTGAGCCTCAGGCTGGTTCCACTGGGCAGCAGCGTGGCTGATGGAGAGACCCATCACTGCTCCCTTCCCTGGTTTGAGTGAACCCACCCTGACAGTCCCAGGCAGATGGGCCGGCCCGTGTGGCAGGAAGGCAAACTAGCACATCTGCCCACAGGACCCCACTGTGTAATGGAAGGTGAGGAGCTCCCTAAGAGCAGTTAGAGGACTTCTCTGCCCACTGGGTTTTATCAGCTTCAGTGAGTTGGTGAGGTTTGCTGACACGAAGAAGGAACCCCGTTTCACCTAACACCATCTTGCACCTTCAAGACTGACTTCAGGGGCAGGCAGATGATATTCTGGGCTTACAAACAGGACCTCTCCACAGGGCTCAGCAGGCAGGGAGTCAGGATTATGGACTGGGAGGCTGGGATGGGGGAGGGGGCGGGCAGAAGAGGAGATGAGGGAGAGAGAGAGGCCTCTGGGGCTGCTCATCCATCCCAAGCCCAAGTGACCCTCCTCTAGGCCTTGACTGGCCTCTGGCTGAACGGGCCTGGACTACATGGTTTGTAGTCTTCAGAGACCAGGATGGAGTTTTCTCCTCCCCAGCCGTCCTTTGGATGCTACTCCACTGAGCCTGGAGCAAAACCCAGGGAGAAGCGAACCACCAGGGACCCATTTTGGAAGCTCAGCAGGACTCCTGGCAGAGAACGGCTGTTCCCCTTTCCAAGTGGTGATATTTCCCTCCTTCCAGGGGCATTTCCCTCCTTCCTGGAGCCATAACAGCTGTAGCAGCGCCCAGCAGGAGTGAGGACAGGGCCCCTCACTGAGTGGCGCACTCTGGGCCAGGAGTAGACGCATTATCCACGTCCTGTCCTGAGTGCGCGCAAGGTCTTTGGTTGTGCCCACTCCCTGGTGGGCAGAACCCTAAGGAGAGGAGCCTCGTGCAGCTCCGGGCAGCAAGCCCACCACCAGCTCTGTTGGGGGCACATGTGTATCACAGAACGTGTGGTAGATAAACACACTTGCAGAGTACGGTGCCCACCGGCATTGTGTTTGCCAATATTCCCTAACTCGGGCTTGGAGAATTGAAAATAGATCCTGACTAAAAAGTAAAGGTTTATAGAAATTTTGCAAAAACTGTTGCTAAATCCCCTGCTTAGAGATGAAAGGAATCCCTCCTGGTTCATCTGCCCTCTGTACGAACCTCTGGCTGGCCTCTTGGGCTGGTCTGAGTGCCCTTCTCCCAGGGCACAGAACCATGCATGCTCCTCCTCCTGGAGCTCACACCACACACTGCCACCGTTTCCAAGGGATGAGACTGCCAGGTCAGCAAACAGGCTGCTTACCCTGCCTGGTGCTAGAGGCCCCCGCCGGCCCAGCGTCAGGGAGGCTGAGCCATATGCCAGAGAGAGGAGATTAAAAGAGAAAAGCCCCAAATAATTGAAGGTCTCCGGAGCCTCCTCCTTTTCCTGTCACATCTCTGCACCCAGAGCGGCAGAGAGACTGCCTGCAGAGTGTTAAGCCAGAGGCACCAGGACACCGTTTCTATGACAACCCCTCGCAGCTCCAAATCAGCTCTGTGTTAAAAATGATTTCAAGTAATTGGAGAGTGCAGGGGAGCCCAGCCAGCAGCCTGACCCTGTGCCCCTTCTCTTTCCCAGACTTCCAGGTGTGCAGGGGCTGACGGCTCAGGATAGGGAGGGAGCAGGGCAGGCACAGACTCAGCTGGGACCACAGAACAGCCTTTAGGGAGACACGTTTGGGGTAAAAATTTGTCCTAGAACTGGATTTCGAATTAGCTTTGGACTAAGAAAAAAGAGGCGCCTGAGACAGCCTGGTGCCTTTCAAACACTGGGCTGGCGCATCATAAAGCTGGTCCATATGCAAGTGCTCCTAACGTGGATGCTGGACAACATCAGGCCAAGTCACTCCCACCCCCTCTCCCAGGTGGAAAACAGCCAGGAGCCTGACCTGTGCCCTCCTTAGCCAGGAAGACAGGGGTGGACCATCTCTGCCTGACTCCAGCCTACTCCTCCATCCTCTTTGCCTTGAACTCAGCCTGAGGGGAGAAAGGGCACAGGCCCTGCCTGCCTCACGCCACTCAGCTGCTGAGTGCTTCCTCGTGGCTAAGGGGTCCCCGGAAGCAGGACAGGTGCCAGATTCAGGGAGGCATGATGGCTGATGCTCAGGTGGACAGTGACAGTGCAACTTTTCCGAACTCAGCTGAAGTTGAGAGGTGGAAGCTGAGCCCAGGATAAAGGGTGTGTATCCCAGGACATGGCGGTTGTCAGATAACGAGACAGGTGCCGGGGCTTTTAGACACTAAGAAACTGCGAGGTCAAGGGCGCTTGGAAGAGTCATTCATCACATTTGAGGCAAACTGCAACACAGGATAGTGAACCTGGGCCTTAAAGAGAGGTGATCTGAGTTCCAATCCTGGCGTCATTATGCACTAGCTGTGAGACTTTGGGCAAATAACTTTTCTATGTCTCAGTTTCCTTATTTGTAAAATGGAGCCCAAAGTCTTGGTTTCACTGGTTTCCCTCAGGGCTGAATGAGAGTGCGCGTGGGAAGCAGATCCCCAGGGGCTCGGCACATGCTGCACACATATCGAGCTCTCACTTCAGGATTTTATAAAAAATATAGGATAATAAGGTTTTATTTACTATTATTATTATTATTATTATTATTATTATTATTTTATTTTGAATCCCTGCCTGCTGAGCCCTGTGGAGAGATCATATTTGTAAGCCATTTTCTCTCCAGTGGGACACTAGGCCTGAGGTGGTAGAAGAGGGAAGCAGCAGGCCGGGGGGTGGGGGTGGGTAGAAGCAGGTCTGGGTTGCAGTCTCTGTCCTGTGTGACCTTCAGCAGATCTCATCGTAACCTCTCTGGGCTCCGTTTTACTCACTTTATAAGTTCTTTAGGATTCAAAGTGGTTCTATTTAATAAATGAAATGGCTCAGGAGGACTCCACTACCCTCAGCTCCACATGTCACCGGGAAACTATAGCCGGGGACTGCGACCCTGCAGCCCACAGGAGGGGGGTCCTCCTGCTATGACCATGAGCCTTATTCCTAACATCCACTCACGCCTTCCCAGCCCTGCACAAAGGGCGGCTCCTACCTGCAGCAACGGCTGTCTTCTTGTCCACTGTCACGGCTACAGCTGTGCTCGCTGTGACTACCACAGGCTGCCCCGGACCTTCTGGGGAAACAAAAATGGCAAGTCACCTTCTCAGCAGCTGGGGAAGGCCGGGGTTGCGGGGTGGGGTGGGGGGGACCAAGAAGAAAGTATAAATATCAGGTGAGGTCATTCTTGGAAAACTGAGGGGCTATTTGAGCAAGCTGTTGCTGTGAAGGCTGTTACCACCAACCACTGGCCGGGACAGAGCGCCTCCTGAGGCCCAGGCACTGCCCCCTTCTGTGCAGACCTGAGCCTGTCAGTGTCCCTAAGACACCGGAATTGGATCCGTCTCAGGAGTAGTCTCATTTGAACTCAGGGAGCCTGTGGCAACGGTTTTCCTGACACGAGTTCCACCCAGAAGAGCTGTGTCGCATCGAATGACTTTCCAGCAGAAGGAAGGCTGCATTCCAGAACTCGGTGGTTGCAGACCCTGGATTGTCCTTCATCAGTCACACGAGTCAGAGTGACCTTCAGCAGAAGGTCAGGAAGCCAGACACCAGGGCTGCATTGGGCTCAGAAGGCTGGCTGGAGCTGACTGAGGACTTCACACATCCTGGCAGTGGCGGCCCACACACCACACACCCTCATCAGCCGTGCCTTTCCCCGGCTGAGCAGCTGGTCACTGCTCTGCTGGGCCTCTGCCAGCTCCTGAAGGGCGGGGGCTTTCCCTGAGTTGCTCTCTCACCTCTTTATGAACCTGGCTGCCAGAGGTGCAGAATGCAGGGGGCAGCTAATGGAGGGTGGGGATAAAAGGGAGAGATCAACCAAAGGACTTATGTGCATACATATGAGCCTAACCAGTGGTCAAGGACAATAAGGGGGTGAGGGCATGAGTGGGAGTGGGTGAGGGATTGGAATGTGGGGTTGAGGACAAATATGTGATACCTTAATCAATAAAGAACTTAAAAAAAACTATTCAAAAACAAAAATAAAATAAAATAATAATAATAAAAACAAAACAAAACAAAAAACAAACCAGAGCGTCCTGGCTCTGAGCTGGTGCCGCTAGGCCATGACCTTGGGCTTCTTAATTTTCACCCGTCCATGGACCTGGATTAGCTTTCAAAAGCGCCCTTATCTATGGGTCAAGCTCCATTATTAAACAGCCCAAGAAAGGGGAAATGTTACCATGTGCTCTCGCACTAGAGAATCATCATGTGAAATGTTGGAGCAAATGGGCCTGAGGCCCTTGCTGTGTGGTGATGGTTATTACGGTGTCCGGTGAAATGGAACATAAATGAACACAGGTTGTCTCACCTGCTGTTTTGCTGATTACCCATCCCACCTTGCTGTGATCAAACAACCCACAGAAATGTAACATTACTCCGATTCTAGGAACTTACAATATGGGAGGCTGTCCGTGTTTGTAGGAATTTGCCCTGATAAAGCCACAAGGGGCCACACAGAGAAGTCTGCTTCTAGCAATGTCCGGAAGGTACTGCTGTGGCCGATCCCCTGGGGTTCCCCAGGCCCACAGGCTGCTTTCCCAGACACACTTCTACTGTGTGTGTGCCCCAGAGGCTTGTGGGGGACCCCCACCTGAAGGTGTGGGGCCCTAATAACACAGTCTTTGGGGAACATCAGGAATTTCAGCTCCTGGGACACCTAGCA